AATACCATCAAGCATATGCCATTGGAATAGAGAAAAGAAGAGCTAGTTGACCTCAAATCAAGTTCACTAAAGCTGTGAAACTGTCCATCTTCTAATCCTACGATATGGGACATTCCTGTATACTTCAACCATTCATTGTTAGTTACAGCTTGAAATAAAATTCTAGCACAAATTAAAAATTGTAAACACTCGTACTCGACGAAACCAGGGAATTGTAGCTAATATCCTGACCTTAAAAAAGTGAAACCTTCATAACAGAAATTTCAGAAGCATACCAGGTGTGGAGAGGTGATGAGCTTCTAGACAACAAGATCAACCCTTTCACAGTCATTATCCAGATAGGCATAGACCAAGCAAAAACTTGTATTAACGTTTCACAGAGTACAAGTGGAACTGGAAAATAGAAGAAAAGGGCGAAATAAACGAGTAATAAATGAGCAGAGAGCTAACCAAATTGTTTGGGGTGCAACCGTCAAGCGGGAATATGGCGGCATGAAGAGGAGAGATCGGACAGCGAGTGGAGTGGTCTGAGACATGATCATCCCACTAAAGATAGAGCTTCGAACAGTTGCTTAGTGGAGTGATCTGCTCCTATTGATTTGCATACCTCTGTAATGACCAGTGATTGTCCCTAGCCAAGAATCCTTTTCCCTTCATTAATTTATTTATACCACATTAGTCCAAGAATCAGATATGAAATGTGACGCCAAATCAATTCAAGAATTTGAAATTAAATGATAACACCCAAAATGTCAAATTAGAACCTACAGTAGGCAAAAAAAGGTCAAATTGGGACCCAGGCAAGTTAAGAATCGCGAGAATGCTTTTTTATATCCTTTACTTGGCCATTAAAGCATTAAATTAAGCCAAGTAAGAACAGAAAAGTAAATTAAGCCAAGCACAAACAGACAAAGCTTAAGCCAAGCTCATAAAACTGAATTTCAACTGAAAACACATAAAACTGTTATAATGGGATATCAACATTCATAATAAAAAAAGTGTATTTTTCAGTTTGATTATAACAAAAGGTTGGATATTTAGTTTAGCCATAACAGAGAGTGTACAATTCATTTCTTAGATAGCAACAAGGGTTTTATTAATAACAAGGGCATCATAAGTTGTCTAAACTAATAGCAAGTGATTGTTTCATAAAACCTTAAAGCTATCACATTGTAGTTATGCAATAAATAATAAATATCACAATACTTTTCAGAAAAAATCATATGTAAATAATAATTCAAGTTTTAAATTGATATTATAACTCTATTGACAAGTTCTAAAAAAATACATGAAAGAGAGCCACTCACCTATCCTCCACTAAGTATTTTAGAGAGCAAAGTTGGTTGTCTAAATCTCCCTCCATAGCTTCTGTTGTTGTAGAAGAAGAAAGAACATACGGATAGAATCTGAAGAAATGAGCAGATACACCCTTCTTTGGTCGGAAAACTTAATCCACTCCGATTTCAGGTCATCTTCGCCAAGAATCAGAGTGGTAAGCCGGAAATGACCAACCCGTAACTAAAAGTTGAACATACACGCAACTTGCATACCTGATTATTCTTGTTGGGGAGGTGCGATAATGAGAATCGAGCTGGGGATTTTTTAAAGCGGAGATGAAAGTCAAAAGTTGAGGTTGCTGCTGCTGAAATTTCCCTCCCTACATGCCAATACTCATTATTGACAGCAAATTTACTCATGGTTGTTGAAAGACTTACAATGAAATGAAATAGAAACAAAAGAGAAGCGAAGTAGGAGAAGAAATCATAGAGTCTGGTTGTGGAAAGACTTACAATGAGAGGTCTGGTCGCCAATCCGCAAGAAAGACTCACTTGATCGCCCGATGCAGAGGGTTGAGGAAGGATGAGAGGTCTGGTCTGCGGCGAAAGATATGGCAGATTGACATCGAGGGCGGCTCCTTCGGCGGACGATGGGCTGTGACACTTCCTAGGAACCCTAGCTTATGAATCGGAAGAGGAGACATGTAGATGTATACCTGGGAGAAAGATTGAGCGGTGGGAAGCACACCACCATTGGGAAGCAGGTGCTGTAAACAGCAGGAAACTGGCGGAAAGCTTGTGCTTGCTGCAGAGAGCGGTGAAGCGGAGAAGCTCAAACGGAAATGGTCGCGTTAGTTATTCCCAAGGTCGGAGCTACAGTGCCTCATCGTTTAAACGGAAACAGGCCAACTAACATTCTTAGGCCTTTTAATAGTATAGTAGGATATATATATATATATATATATATATATATATATATATATATATATATATATATATATATATATATATATATATATGCGGAATATGTGAATAATATTTTAAAAACTTTTCTTTCGAGAAAGAACAAAAATAACTAACATAAGCGGCATCGGAAAATTCACAAAAAGTGCCGGCAAGATGTCAGTCGGGTTTATAATATAGTTAGCATATTCTTTTTAAAAAAACAGGAAAATGGTCTTTAAATCTAATAAGTACAACAATTAAGTTATAAGTATTATTCCAACGAATAGATAAATCTTTAGGAAAAACGCAATATTTGACACTATCACTCAAATATTGACGACGTTGCATTTTTAATGGATTATTAGCCCAAATAAGTCAAATCCCCCCTTTACTACCTCCATAGCATTTCCCAACGTGGCTAGCCCGTCTTTTACACATAAATTTAGAATATGACATGCACAACGATGATGAAAAAACTTACCCATCAAAGTAGAAGAAGCACACAATTCACGCAATCTATGTATAGCAGCAGTATTATTACTAGCATTATCAAAACCAATAGCAAACACCTTATCAATCAAATTGTACTCAATTAAAATACGCTCAAAGAGAATATAAATATTATCAGCGGTGTGTCGGTCATTAAATTCACGAAAAGCAAGAACACATTTATGCATTTCCCAATCACCATCAATATAATGTGCAGTCACACCCAAATAATATAAAGGAAAAATGAAAATTAATAATCCAACTTTTTAGCGGTTTTCATTCGTTGGTCCCATTTTATCGTTATTAATGAATAATCAAACCTTTGCACCTCATCTTCATTCGTTGGTCCCTGACCGGTTGATGACCTGCTATTCCAGGTTTTTTCATTTTCTTTACAAATCATTCAACTATAAATCCGACCTTTCACAAATCTTCTCCAAACGGTCCCACATATCATTTTTCTTTTTTTCCTAAAACTTTTCCCTTTTTATTTTTATCGTCTTGACTCTTTTATTCTCCTTTTTTGTCTTCTTAATATTATTTTTACTACTTTTCAAATTATTTTATTTTTTTAAATGTTTATGTATTCCATTTTCCTTTTTTTTTCTTCTTCCCATTTATTATTTCATTTTCATTTTTATATATTTTTTCGAATTAGTTTCCTTATAAAAGATCTTTTTCTCACCATTCTAACTTTTTACTTTATTTTCTTTTTACTTACACTTATATTCCTTTTTCCCTTTCTTACCTTTATTCTACCACTAATATATTTTTGAGAAAAAAGCCCCAAAATAGGACTAAACTAATTCCTAAACGCACAAATAGGACTATGTTATTTATCTTCCCAAAATAGGAATAAAATACCGTCTACCCTCTTATTCTACATTCCTACCTTTACCATAACTTAATAGGATAATCATATTTTACATTATAATAAAAAGAAAAATAACAAAAGGTATTTCAATTTATAAAAATATAGTAACAAAATAAAAAGAAAGGTATGGTAAGGGTAGAAATGTAAAATAAGAAGATAGACGGTATTTTATTATAATGTAAAATATGATTATCCTATTAAGTTATGGTAAGGGTAGAAATTTAGGATAAGAAGATAGACGGTACTTTAGTAAAGATAAATAACATAGTCCTATTTGTGCATTTGGGGATTAATTTAGTCCTATTTTGGGGCTATTCTTTCAAATATATACTAGTGGTACAATAAAGGTAAGAAAAGAAAAAAGGAAATAAATAAGTGTAAGTAAAAACAAAATAAAGTAAAAAGTTAGTACGGTGAGAAAAAGATCTTTTATAAGGAAAGTAATCCGAAAATATATATAGAAATGAAAATGAAATAATAAACAGGAAGAAGAAAAAGAAGGAAAAATGGAATACATAAACATTGAAAAAAATAAAAAAAAATGAAAAGTAATAAAAATAAAAATAAAAAGGAAAAGCTGGTAAAAATAAAAGAGTCAAGACGATAAAAATAAAAAAGGAAAGTTTTAGGAAGAAAAAAGAAAAATGACATGTGGGACCGCTTGGTGAAGATTTATGAAAGGTGAGACTTATGGTTGAATGATTTGCAAAGAAAATGAAAAAATCTGGAATAGCAAGTCATCAACCGGTCAGGGACCAACGAATGAAGATGAGGTGCAAAGGTTGGATTTTTCATGAATAACGATAGAGTGGGACCAACGAATAAAGACCGCTAAAATGTTGAATTATTAATTTTCATTTTCCCTAATATAAATGATGATGAATATTCTCTCATATATCACTACAAATACTAACACGTCCATCAAAGTTTGCGAAAAATATTTGTAATTTTTCCTTTTCCAAAACTAATTGTTGTCTAACACTAATCGTTGTCTAACAAGTGTTAATTTAAATTAATTGCAAAATGAGAAATGTAACAACTAACAATTAAGTACCTTAATGACAAATATATCAATGAACTAATACGAAAATGATAAATGTAACAATTAACAACTTTTATACTTTCACTACAAGAAATAGTACTATTTGTGTCGAATCTTTTAGCGTCGACGTTAGTGGACGCAAATAACGTACAATTTGCATCGACAAGCCGACGCGAATAACATTGAGCAGTGATCCGGAAAAAAATTCAATTTTTTCGAATTTGTGTTAAATTGTTGACGCTAAAAGTAATCCGATTTTTTTAAAAAACATTAGCGTCGATGATGTGGACGCAAAAATCGAAATGTAAAAATATTTAAAAAAGGGAAAACTTTAGCGTCTCTCCTTCGACGCTAGTGAAGCTAATTTAAAACAACCCTCGCCATATGTCTAGGGCAAAAGCGAAAGAACAGCTCAAGCTCAATGGAGGATCAGTCTCCATGAGGAGATAGTCTCCGTTTAGCACCGCAGCGAGCTGCACTTCAGATTTACGTCCGAAATCTGCTCAAGAGAACGACTCGCCGTACGTCTACGGTAATATTCTTCCTCCGAATTTCAGATTTACTTCCTCCTCCACGTTTTTTCCCTCAAATTCGTCCTGTTAATTGCTTGTTAATCGGTATTTCTGTTGTCAATTACTTCGTATTAGGTAAAAGTATCTACGAAAGCTACTTTGATTAATTACTTTAGGATAGAGCATAATTATTAGGGTCTGGTCGGCTATATGAGCTACATTGTTTTAAGAATGTTTGAAAACACAGAGGTTGGTATCCCATGTACTATATGAGCTACATTGTTTTAAGAATGTTTGAAAACACAGAGGTTGGTATCCCCTAAATCGTAAACAAAAAGTACAATTAGTACTAATTAAATGACTCAGTGTCCATAGTAAACAAAAAGTCCCATTATTGGCAACTTGTGTTCCTGATGCCATGTACTATCAGCCTCTACATCGTTTTCCTGCAATGATTACATCACATAAGCTTCTCCCATTGAACAATATCCATAGTAACTGTTTGGACGAATGTTTTTGGAAGGGAAACTTTCAGAGGACTTGGTCTATATCTTGGAGATATATTTGAGAGTTAATAAAACTTGGAAGGTTGACGTGATGTGCTATCATATATAATTTCCGTTGCACTTTTTTGTGTTTTTATAACAATATTTGTGAAGATATAGAATAAGCCTTCTCTGAATCCTTCCCTTGCAATTCCCTAAAAACCCACATCCAAATGTATCCTTAGCGGCTGTACTCAGGCAGGCTGCAGGCAGCTTACCTCCAAAGATGATATATCTGCTCCACGGCTGAAAGTCATTTCTAAACGATACCTCTTAGGGTCTTCTAGTGCCAACTGCACGCGCACACAAACCTTATTTGTGAAGATATAGCTAGCCTTTTTGTTTAACTACATAAACCTTAGTGTTCTTGTTTCTTTTTTTGTACTTTTTGTTGAATTTCATTTTTCAATGTTTATCACATACAGAGTATTCAAATGTGTGTGAAATTGAGTATGCTCATATTGAAACACCTGGCAATATGTACTAATTATGTATGTTGTTTCTTTCTGGGAATTAAAGAATATAATAATTACTAATTTGAGATTTATTCAATAAAATGTATACCTTTATTGTTGTATATAACATGCTCCTTTTTAATTAAACTCATTTATTAGTCTTTATATGAATGATTGGTAGAGCCTTCAAGTTGATCACTTTCTGGCGAGGATGCCGATAGATAAGAGTTGGATATTTATAAAGAATCGATTATCAGAAGAGTTTTGGAATGGATTACAAGGTTTTATAGACTATGCAAAAGACTTTGTGAATGAAGAAGGAAAGATAAGTTGTCCCTGTAAACATTGTGTAAATGGGCAAATGTTCCCATTGAGAGATGTTAAAAGGCACATCTTTGAATGTGGCTTTGATGTGACATATGCACATTGGGTTTTTCATGGTGAGGCGCCTGAGTTACCATCATATCAAAATCCGATTGCAGACAATGAGTCAGATGATGAAATGGCTGCTGTACTGAATGACATTGCTGCGGAAACTAACGACCATGGCATTGGTGGTGAGACCACAAACAATACCACTGATGAAGGGTATAGTCAGTACAAGGATCTATTATCAGAGCTCCACACAGAGTTGTATCCGGGGTGTACCAAGATTTCATCACTAAATTTTTTAGTGAAACTTATGCATTTGAAAGTACTTTATAAGTGGCCAAATGAGTGTATGGATTCAGTGCTAAAGCTACTAAAAGACGCACTGCCTGATGGTAGTAATTTACCAACTTCTCATTACGAGTCAAAGAAAAAGTTGAGCAAATTAGGATTAGGGTATCAAAAGATTCATGCATGTAAGTATGATTGTGTTTTATTCTGGAAGAGTAATGCAGATCTACAGACATGTCCAATTTGCAACACAAGTCGGTGGAAATGTATCAATGAACTAATAGGAAAATAAGAAATGTATCAATTAACTTATTAACTAATATTAATAAAAAATGTATGAATGTGTAAACTAAATTAATGGGAGTGTGAGTGTATAAGTAATAGGATGAATTTAATTACTATTAATCAAAGTGTAACTAATATATATTATATTGTTTATAGTATATACTCCCTTCCCCCCCCTTTTAAATGTCCCGGAAGAGGGTGACACGAGTTTTAAGAAAAGTAGGTTTGTGTGGTTGATATTAATAGATAAATTAAGAATAAAGTAAGAATGATTTTGAGCCACACAAACTTTACCAAATAAGGTATGAGACAATTAAATAGGGACATCCCAATATGGTAAAATGGAACATTTAAAAGGGGGCGAATGGAGTAATATATAAGTATACTACTATAAGATGAGTAGTACACTTATATTTAATACTTTAATATATACATATATAAGAAGATATAATAATTGTTAACTAATATATAATATAATGTTTATAGCATATAATATATAATTATACTATTTTAAGATGAGTAATACACTTATATTTAGTACTTTAACATATATAAGTATATATTAAGTAGATGTAATATGTAAATGTAAGTAAATAACAATAATATAATAAGTAGATATTAAATAAATATGAAGTATATATAAAGTAGATAATAAGTATATATTAAGTACATAATTAAATTTTAGTAATATAATATATGTATTTATAAGTAGATAATTAATATATAAGTAGATATAATAATCGTATAAATATATTTAGTGAGAATTGAAGAAGATGAAGATGGAGATGATTACGAATATTAGAGAATAGAGAGTAAGAAAAATAGGAGTATTTATAGTTTTTTTATACCCCACCTCCCAAACCCCCTGGACCCACTCCCTGCCCTCCAACGGCTATAGAGCCATTTAGAGGTGTTCCCAATGGCTAGGAGCCCTCCAATTAATTTAAAAAAAAAAATTAAAACAAAATATGGCCGTTGAGGCCCGAACGGGCCGGGCCGGTTCGTCATTTGGGAGGTCCGGGAACCACCCTTCCATAGTGCCGGGCCGGGTGGTCCGAACCGGGCACAGACCCGGGTACTGGGCCGGGCCAGGCCGTAACAGTACTGGGTCGGGCCGGTTACGGGGCAGTTAACCCGTCGCGATTCCATCCCTAATCCCCCATACAGTTTGATTATATAGATCTACTATTTGAATTTCATGATTGTTTTACGTTATACTCCCTCCGGTTCTGAAAGATCTTTACACTTTCCATTTTTGGCAGTACCACAATTATCTTTACACTTCTTATTTGCCTTACAAATCTACATCAAACAGTGTCAAACAGTGCCAAACAATGTCAAACTCCTTAATATTTGTGATGTCAAAGTGTTAAAAGCTTTCAGAAACGGAGGGAGTATAATGAGAGTTGGAAAGATGAAGTTAAATAAGTTATACTACCTTCATCTTGTAAATTTTTGTCGTCTTTAAAACTTTGATCAATTATATATTTTTATTAAAAATTATTTATAATATAAATATGATATGAAAATGTTATTTGTTTAAACTTTAAAGTACCTTTATAAAAGTAAAAAATTCTTATTTTTTTAACTCAGTCAGTAGGGTTGGACTCGGGCCGGGTCGGGCCCGGTCAGGCCGAGGGTTCTATATAGCTGGACCCGGGACCGGCCCGGGTAGCCACCGGGTCGGGTCCGGGTCCGGGCCGGGTAGCCACCGGGTCCGGTCCGGGTCCGGGCCGGGCCTCGGGTTTGGTTATTTTTTTTTTTTTTTGCTTAGCTACCCATCCCTGACCCCCCCCCCCCTCACCTCCCCACCCCCCAAACCCCTCCTAAACATCAAGCCCAACCCGGTGGAGCCCAAACAAATGAAAAAAACCAAAAAAAAAAATAAATTTGGCCCGGCCGGGCCGGCCCTTGTTATGGGTGACCCGAGCCCAGACCGGAAACCCACCGGGTCGGGCCTACCCGGACCGTTCACTGACCGGGCCACCGGTTCGGACCGGGCCGGAACAATACCGGTCCCGGGCCGGTTCCGGGTCGGGCCACCCGGCCCGAGTCCAACCCTATCGACCAGTAAACCACCAAAATCAGTGGGGTAAATGCCGGAAAACATTTTGATGAAATGATGGTTCAATTTTAATCAAATTCATGGTTCAATTTTGATGAAATGACAGTTTCAGGACAGAGGTAGTATACGAGTATGATCAATATTGATTTTTTTTTGAAAAGAGATTCTTATTAATGAAGAAGCAACAGGATGGTACATGAAAGCAACAAGAATAGGGAAAAGCAAAAGGAAAGAAAAAAGGAAAAGAAAACAAGGGAAAGAAAAACACATATAAGATGTTGTATAGTGTTGAAATGTTGATGACTAACTAGTTGGGGAAGGATAATATATGATCATATGGCTATACTTCAATTTCTGACAATATATTTACAAGTAGGAACTTTGGGTTTGAATTGAAAATTGGCCTCCACTGTCATGTGCCAATCCTTTGGAAAGCACGTAAGTTGTCCATTAAGCAATAGAAGTACAGTACACCAAATTCCAAAGCCATTTGCATAACACTTTAAAATAGTTGTTTGACATGATAAATCAATCAAAAAGCCAAAAGGACTGATAGGCGATTTACCAAACAGGCGAATTCTCACAGGACAAAATCAGAAGTAGAGAAACATGTCATATTAGTATAAACAATATCACAGTAATAACTTTCTTTTGGATATATATGGTGGGTTTGTCAGTTCCATTTTATGTTTCTCATACTATCACCATTTAGCTCTCAGTTCTCGGCTTCTGGATGGGAGGCATGTCTTCGAACAACCTGGAACAAAATTTGTTAACTAGTTAAAACAGCAACTTACAAAAGAGTCCATAAATCCGAAAGTTTGAAATCATATGCTAAGACAGAATTATTCAAGGGACTCATTGAGATATTTGCACACTAGAAAGTTTCAACACAAGTAGAAGTGCTTCAAGCTAAAGACAGTTAACTTACATGGAAAACACTCTCTTCCTCTTTTCACTGCAAATATACATGTCCAACTCTTCAATACTTAAGCTTTCGAAACTAGTGTCAATATCAAAATTTAGCAATTTACAATTATCCAAAGACGAGGAAGACGACCCAATAGAACCTGGCATGACTTCAAGATGTCCTTTAAGTTTGTTCATTAAAATAAAACCTGTACAGGAAAAGAAAAATGATCAAAATGTATAAAGGATACAAGAAAGCATCAATGTCATGATGAAATTAAAAAAAAAGCTTAGAGCTGGTAAGGTAACATTAATTTGAAATGGCTGAAGTAATTAAATTAGATCAACTTATTGAAATATGGCTGGAATGGATGAATCATCTAAGGGTCCACTAAAATAAAATAATAAATGGATTTAACGTGTCATTGCTTTCAATTCTATCACCAATTAGTTTCTCCATTTAATGGTCAAGTCAGCCAGCACAGTTAATTAAGGGAGTGTGTGATAAAAAGTCGGGCAAATATCCAGAAACTCAAGCTACCAAAGGGGCACTTCATATGTTATAACTGCATATTGAACCAAAGAATAACTTATACACCCTTCCACAAAAATTAGATGATAGAGATATGTTCTGCATAATTTTATCTGAAAACTTCATATGAATGAAAATTAATAAAATCATTAGCAATAATGTCACTTCAAGCAAAGATGAAATAAGACATACTGAGAGCGCGGAGAAACTTTAAATCAAGATTCTTGGCTATAGCTTTGGAACCAATTTTTTTTGCTCCTCTGAGAATCATCACTTTCAAACTAATTAGGAAATCCTAGCAATTAAAAGACAAGAACATATCACCAAGCTTTCCAAACAATAATGGAATCACACACACTCCAAGTGAACGATAGAATTGAAGATTAGCAAAGACTTACAAGTTCAGACTCATTTAGTGAGCAAAGCCATCTGATATCATCAACTCGACTTTTATTACTCCCTAAATTGAAATTTTCAGTATACATTCCTCTCTGTCCTTGTAAAAGACTCTTTTTTCCCTTCAGAAATTTTTGCTGCATTTCACACAACACAAGTTACACTTCAGTCAAAATTAAATGTTTATAAGCACAGATAGCATCATATAAAAAATCATCAAATTGAACAAGCAATTGTTGTTGAGCAAAAATGTGGGGCAAGAATAGATACAAGGATCACTCTAACATAGTCACACTACAATATAACACTGGTGTTAAGTATCACTCTAACAAAACTAAGTTACTAAACTGAAATAAATCTCTTTGAAAAAAAAGATATGAATTCCTTATGCAGTTTCACTGAAGAATGATATATAGAAATATCACATAGCTTAGGAATGTCAATCAAGAAACTGACTAACTGTTATGTGGAAGTGTAAAAATCTTGATTTCGCAGATCTTGAATCAGTAACGAAAAAGAATACCGACAGAGAGATTCACAAATACATTCAATTCTCCTACACATCCATGGGTTGAGGGATGGTTTCATAGTTCCCCAAGTCAATTCTTTCTCTTTAATTCACCATTAAACACTATCTAAGCAAAAAACTTTCAAGCAACTAATTTGTAGTAAGCAACATCTAAGTAGCACCGGGACGGAAACTGAAACGGGGACGGAAACTGGGACGCGGAAACTCTAAACTCAAAATATCAAAATACGGCAAAGGAAACGTCGAACTAAAAATTAAAATTTTACTAGTATAAGTAATGTTACGGTGTATTATCAATCCCTACGGAAGAACCTGACCCACTGCCAGCATCACTAGAAGACCCACTAACTTCAATGCTTCCCATATTTCAAGATTAAAAAGATGAATCACTTATTGTGACAGCAATTTAATACTCTGGCAGCAATTAATTTAAAGCTCACCGCCTCACAAATAAGCGGCAAGGGATATCCTGTTCTTCAAGCCTTCAATGCAACACCAGAGCCTTTGTGTCTTTCACAAGGGTTCGTCGCTGGCAGCTTCAACACTTCAATCGTTCAAGTCCGATGCAGACTGTGTGACTTTGTTGTTCCAGTCGACTGGGGACAGGGGAGTCGCAACTCTTCAAGCCTTCGTTTTCGAGTGCGGGACTGGGGAGTCGCGCAGAAGGATTGCAGAAGGATTGCGGACGACGTTCGTTTGCGGATAGAGTGCGGCACAGCAGGAATGGTATTCTTCAGATTCAGGAAGAAACGAATATGAATTAAAAAAGGGGCTTTTTTCAGAAATAACCTTAGAGCTGAAAATAATATCACTTTTATCAATATATTATTCGCCGACGTAAATATCTAGCCGTTGTTTAAATAGCAGTGGAGATCTATCTCCCCCACCGTTATTAGTTAATAAACTAATACTTTGTACAAACTTAAGGAGTAACTTAATCTAATTTGTTGAGTGGACCTAGTTTTGGTTTTTTTTACATAGGAAGAAAATGTAAAAAGTTTATGAAAAAGAAAAAAATAAAAAATAAGGGAAAAAACTAAAATTTAAAAATAAAGAAAAAACTTAGTCAAAAAATTGAAATGCCAAAAATGCGTAATAAAAAGATATTTGAAAACTTGTAAGCTAAGTAGCACCGGGAGGGGGACGGAAACGGAAGGGGACGGAAACGGGGACGGGGAAACGCTAAACTCAAAATATTAGGAAACCGGTACGGCAAGGAAACGTCAAACTAAAAATTAATTTTTTTAGTAATATAAGTATTGCATATGTCTAACAACCCAAAAAATAATTAAACAAAACATACATCCTTGTTATAATCCATTCTACAAGCACAATAAATAAAATTTAAAAATCACTACGTAAATGTGTCATTTGGTGAATAGCGAGTGAAATTGAAATTGGAAGCATTTGAAATTGAACAGAATACTCTCACCCAAAAACCAAACCCTTTTCTTCTTCCTTCCTGTCCGGTGAATAGCGAACCGCAGTCCAGCACGGTAGCACAGCAGCGGCGCAGCACTCCTGGCCTCCCATGAGTCCGATGGTCGATGGTCTCTTCGCAGTTCGCAGAGACGCAGTTCGCAGAGAAGAAGAGATGCACGGAAACGTAGTTCGTTCGCAGTAGTTCGTTCGCAGTCTTGGACCCTTGGCCTCTTCGCAGTTCGCAGAGACGCAGAATCGCAATAACCCTTCTTCCGTTGTTCGTTCGTAGGCTTCGGTAGGGATGGATTCGGTTCGGGCCACCCGGCCCGTGACCCGGCCCGGCCCGTGACCCGGCCCGGCCCGTGACCCGGCCCGGCCCGGTACTGTGCGGGCCCGGGACCGGCCCGGTCGGGCGGTCCGGGACCGGGTCTGGGCCCGAACCGGGGGGAAGGGGTGGGGCGGGCTCGGTTCATCATTTTTGTGACCCGGCCCGGCCGGGTCGGGTCCGGGCCCGGGTCCGGGTCTATTTTAAAAAAAAAACTTTTTTTTTTATTTTTTGCTACTAGCCGTTGAGGCCTTGGGGGTGGGGCTGGGGACAACCCAAACGGCTATATAGCCGTTGGGTGGGGTAAAGGGGGGGTCCGGGGGGGTTGGCTGGTAGGGGGTGGGGGGTAAAAAAACCTATAAATTCTCCTACTCTTAAACATTTTTTCATATCTCTTCTCCAATTCTTCCTAAATCCTATTCTTAACTCTCTACTCTCTAATTCTCTTATTCTCCAATATATTATATATCTACTCTCTAATTCTCTTCTCCAAGAAGTTAAGATGGAAAATCAAAATGCCATTATACGGTATAATTTTGATAAGCAGAAGGACCCGAAGACCGGGATGTGGTACGCAATTTGTAAATGGTGCGAAAAAAATTGTATTATGGGGGCTTCAGGCGGATTCAGGATGGCAATCAAGCATATGAAGTCATGTGACAAAGCCAAAGGATCGGGAGGTGCGGGAAGTTCCGATTGATTACAATTTTCAAAATGTTTATCTTAAAGTTTGTTTTAATTTTCAAATGTAGTTCCTATTTCATTTCAAATAAATGCAATTGAAGTTTGTTTTTAATACTCGTATCAAACTATAAACTATAAAATATAAAATATAAATTATAAAAAAAAAATTAACCGGCCCGGCCCGAACCGGACCCGACCCGTGACCCGGGCGGGTGGCCCGGCCCGAACCGGACCCGTCCAACCCTCGGGCCGGTCCCGGGCCCACTGTTCTTGAACCGGCGGCCCGACCGGGCCTAGGCCCGGCCCGGGCCCAACCCGGCCCGAATCCATCACTAGGCTTCGGGTCTTCACAGGTAAGCTATTGAAGTCCGTTTTTTTTAATTTTGTGCAGAAACGCATAGGCCCAATCCCAGCGCCGTTTCCGAAACGTTTCCCAACCCGGCCCAATAGCCCATCATCTACGAAACGTTTCTGGACGTTTCCATGGAGTTTCCGGCCATTTCCCGGCGTTGGACGTTTCCGAAACGTTTCCGGGACGGAAACCTCACCCTTCCCGGCGTTTCCGTGCTTCCTAGCTTGTAAGTTAAATTAATTAAACTAATTTTAAACAATATATCGTAAGATGCTAAAAATGTATAGACTTTAAAAATAAATCTTGAAAATAAAAAAAAATATAAAAAATTTAGTCAAAAATCTGGAAAATTGTTAAAAAATACAAAATATGATTTTTGTAATGTAAATTTATATAGTTAATATAATTTATATAAACAAGAAAATATAAAATTTTAATAATAATAAATCAAAACTTTAATACAAAGTAAAATATATATATGAAAAGTAAAAAAGGTGTAGAAGACGTAAAAATAAAAACAAGTCTTAAAAAAGAAAATCTCAAAACTTTCAAATTAGTTATAAATTTGACAAAATGTTTTGAAGTACAAATTTAACTTTTATGTAATTTAATGTTTTTACAATATATTTAAAAGAATTATTTTAAGTGTCGTTATATTGGTTTTTTGTTGTATAACGTTGCTTTGTGTTGCTTTTTTATAGATATAACTTCTAATATCTTATTCTTTATTTATTGGTTATTTATGTTCCATTTTATTTTTTATTATGATTTCTATATATTTTTTATCCTTTGAAATAGAAAACTAACACACATGGTATTTAACTACTACTCCGTAGTATTTATGATCAGGGTCATAAGTCAATTGAAACAATTCTAAATTTCAAAAATTAAAAAAAAAAACAGTAAACAAGATAACTAGAGAAATATCACAATAATTATACAACAAAACACAAAACCTGATACAATATTTACCACAATAATTTATCACAACAAAATACAAAAAAAAAACAATAATTGAGAAATTTGTTTAATAATTATGAAATACATTTTTTCATATTTTTAAAATGTAAAATATGAAAAGTAAAATGATATGCAACAAAAAAGCAACAAGTTAAAACAAAAAGAAACAAAGTAAAACAATAACACGATGCAACAAAATGAAACAAGATGAAACACGATGAAACAAAATGAAACATGCTACAAAATAAAATACGATGCAACAAAATGAAACACGATGAAACAAACTAAAACACGATGCAAGAAAATGAAACACGACGCACCAAAATGAAACACGACGCAACAAAATGACACATGATGAAATCATACTTCAATTTAGTTTTCTGCATATATGACTAGAAATATAATTACAATCTATACTGAAGTACTACAATTATAATTACATCCCCTACTAAAGTTCAAGAGAGAGTCAAGACTTCTTCAAGATGGAGAGGGGCCAAGTGGTGTTGTTCTCTGTAATAGCAACAATGAAGATTCTCTTAATAAACTTCCTAAGCTGGATGCAGACTATACCATGCCTGAAAATGAGATAGATACTAGAACTAAAAGCACTTTAGATGCTCCAGATTAGTCACTACTCAGTAGTTAAAATTTGGGGCCTATATTCAGGCTCTAGATATATTCAAGAATCAATTTGGGGCCTACACCGTGACTAATTCAGGCTCTAGCTAAAATTGATTTAGCATCAATTTGGGGCCTATATTCAGGCTCTAGTGCAAATGCAAAAACTTGGAAGGAATCAGGTTGTACCCTTGATTCCTTTTCCTTAACAACATATACAAGCTCTAACTCATACAAGCATCTATAATAAACTTGGAAAGAATTAAAATTATGATTGTGCTTTGTCTTTGATGAACCAAAAACTAGTCATTTTTTTGAATACCAGTTCAGCCTTCTTTATCATCATCACTATTCTGTCTAACCCATCATTACCTATCTAGAGATGATGGTCCTAGGATTGTCCCGCAATGCTGTATTTCACAGGAGATGATATACTCCTACAACATGAAGAAAATAACTTTAATGTAGTGTGTAGTTCTGTAACCATATTCTGAACCGGTAGCCTTTAAAGGTTTTAGACTCTCACAACAAAGTAAAGAACTTCTTAATGAAATCTGAACAACTACCTGCACTCTGTAAAGCTTCAGAGCATGTAAACTACATTTTGATTTTAAGACTCCAATGCCATCAACTCAAGTAGGAGGAGCAATGTCCAGATGTAAATATATTATTTTGGTCGCCCACCAAAACAGGCAACAATTAAACAAGAAGAAATTGATATCTTCAATTACATAAACAATTCTATAGCACATGAAGAGTATAGTTAAAAACTAAAAAATTGAAGATAAAATATATTAATGTATGCACTTGCTTACAATAATAATATCCTAATGTATATTCTTAAAATATTCCAAAGCATAGACCTGTAAAAATGATGTATTGGTAACACTTTTAGAGCACTAAAAGTAAGAGTATAAAACACTTAAAAGTGCTTTCAAACGGAACAATAGAAAATGAGCTTCTTCTTAAAGTGGTTTCAGCTAAATGAAACTTTTATAAATTCACATCAAAAGCATCTTGTAGCTGAATTATACTGCAATTGAGAAACAAAACCATGTTTAACACAAATACAATCAAACATAAGATATCCAAAAGAGTGATTGATAATTCCAAAACTTCAGACGCTTTTGATTTAGCATCAGTTTGGCTTGTTACATTCAGACATGTGTTTAGTGACTTCATTACAAGCTTGGTCATTCCTGAAATCTGGTTCATATTGATATTGATATTGATATATGCATATAATAACAGAAAACATTGCAGAACAAAAACATTGCAGATGAGGGGATGCGGCGGCTATCCAATCAACCTCCTATAATTGACGGAGATGATTCTAACCTTATTGAAGATGAACCTCAGCAACGCCCCATTCATACTCGCGAGCAGCAACAGGATCGAAATCCACCGATTTCATAATTGACGGCGATGATTCTAACCGATTTTTTTTAGGAGATAGAATTCAAAGATCACCGAACTGGATTTAGCCTTCGAGAAGCGATTACGCCGTTGTGAAAGTGACAATATGTGAGAGAGGGAATCGGAGGAAGGAAGAGCCTCTTGGAAGTTGTAGGAAGAGAACGACGAAGTATGACTTTCTCCGTATGTTTTAGACTATTTTTGAAAAAAAGAAATTAAAAATGAAAAGTTAAAAGTTTGAATATGAAAGATATTTTACCGGTAGACACAAAGGAAATGTTGGGCTAAAAAGGGGTATCTACGGATATTTCCACATCAAAAAAACGTATCAGAAACGTTTCCCAACCTGGCCCAAAACCCCAATAGCCTAGAAACGTTTCCTGGCCTTTCCCGACGTTTCCCCAGCATTTCCCTTCGTTTCCCGTTTCCGAAACGTTTCCGGGACGGAAACTTGAAGGAGATGGGCGTTTCCGTGCTTCCTAGAGCAACATAATCAATATACTTTATGTGGTTGAAGTGTGCAAAGTTCTACACAAAAACATTTATTCTAGCAACAAAATAAAAGACAAAAATAAAGATTATAGGAATAAGAGTTTTCATTAAAGTCAAATACAAAAACATCATAATTTTACAACTGTTCTCTACGGGTTTTCATCGATTTATATCGTTTGATAATGACATCATTGTCAATTTCCGAGAAGATGTCTTTTTCTACGGTCTATCATTAGCGGTGACTGATTCTAGGGTATTTAAGTTGTTTTGTTCGTCATTTGTTGTTGAGTTTTCTTAAATTGTAGTTGAAGGCACTACAATTTTGGATGAGCTACTTTCATTAGCTTTTTCACCGTTATAGTATCTATTCATTACCTTTATTGAAAATAACGAGATGATAAATTACTACACTAATATTGAATACCTTAATAATCTACAATAGTATAAGGGGGAATATTGTTAGGGGTTAAACGGTGATTAAAAAAATGTTGGTGGTTCTTAGTGCATAATCTCACTGTACTTTATGTTTACTTTGTTGTACATGTTGCAGCTTCCATTGTTAACGGTGATTTCAACGTTATGCCCTTACCGGTTAAAACAGCTTCCATTATTGTTTCAGGCCTTTCAGCTTCTATTTTAGGAGTTTTATACTCCGTATGATAGTATAAGGTATCGGCCAATGGTAACTAACGGTGATTCAACGCCCGACACAAAACCAGTTGCGCAATCTCTTCGGCAATTATACTCCTCTCTTCGGTTTTAGCCGCTCAACATTCTCTTCATAGAAATGGCTTCTGACAGTTTAGGCAATCTCTTCCGTTTCAGTCGCAGTTGTTCAACAGATTTTCCTCTTCTTCCCTCTTCTATATATACTCGTAAGTTTTTCCTCTGTTCATCCAATTCTGAATTGTATCGTTACTTTATTATTACTGTTCTACACATCTCTGTTTCAAACCACTTGTTTATTTACCTGCGCATTCGTTTAATAATTCATTTTTTTTGGGTTTTCCCTCTATATTTGTGCCATCTATGTGTTTGATTAAATGCCCCCATGAAATCAAGTATTTTTTTGCTCTGCAGCCTCTATTTACATATGCCCTATTTTATTTCAGCATTTTCAACATTGTTCTCATTTGTTTCTAATACAACAATGTACAGCGTAACGATACCAAAAAGTTGACTAAAGTAGGACTATATTTAAAAGAGAACTTATAAGTAGTGTTATTGTTATATTTGGAATGCTTTAATTGATACATAACTTAAGTATTAGTTCTTTTTAATGGACATGAGGAGGACTCCGACCATAGCTATCTTCCTGTTTGAAGCTAATTTTTGTTGGAATCAATTAATTAACTTTTACTCTTATTGTATTAAGACAAACAACTCAAATATAGTTTTTTTTACCTATATATTCATATAGATCTCTAATTTAGGCAGGATTGGAATGATGCCTCAACAATTTATTTTCTTTGCATTCTGATTATATTGAAAAAATAATTTGTTTTAGTTGAGTTTTAGTTTCATACAAAGATGTTAATTTCCTTCCCTTCTAAAGTTTACATTAGAAGTTACAAAGTTTTATAGACAAAATTTTCTCTGCTATAAAAGTCATATAAGTTATGACGTTTCAAAGATTTACATAGTTTTCTATTAGGTAATAATAGTATTAAAAGTTGGAGATGCAAGAAGTCTCAATTTTTTTTGCATATTTTATAGTCCTTTCACTTTCTGAACACTGTAAGTTGAAATTATGTTTATTTCTTTGCTTTCCTTAAGCACAATTGTATTAGTTCATGGATTATTGAAGCCTTTTTATGATCTATACAAGCAAGAATGATTTCAAATATATAAGGTTGTGCTACTTTTAGGTATTTTTCTGATCGCCTATGTTATATGGAGTATAAGTCTTTTTTCGGTGGTACATAGTACCAGAGTATGCAATTCATGGTCAATTATCACAGAAGGTTGATGTGTATAGTTTTGGTGTGATAGTCTTAGAAATCATAAGTGGTCAAAGAAGCAACGACTTAAATATTTCTGGTGCACATGAAGGCGGATTTCTCCTCCTAAAAGTAAGAAAATCCCAATGATAATTTACCTTATCAGTTTTTGTTTTAAGATTTTAAGTTATACGATCATAATGGATAATAACTAAAAATGATAATTTTTGATAATCATAGAAGTTGTTCAAAGTGTTCCTTTGACCTTTGTCTTACCTGCTGCCAAGAGCTGAGGAATGGCCACTTACAGGGGAATGAAAAAGTAGTTTTCGAATACATTAACAATGGGATAGAATATATGTATGGTAACACTGATAGCAAGCCTGTTAAAGAAAGAAGACGTAAGAGGACTGATGAAAAACTTGATATTGAAGACTTTGGGTTAAAATCTAGTGAAGAAGATATTGTGTTAGAATTTGAAATGAAACCCAATGGTAATGATGACGAACTTCCTGATGAGGAAATTGAGTTAAAATCTGAAGTGAAACCCACCGAGAGTGATGGTGATTGCTGCATAGAATGGAAAACTGGGGTGAAAGGTGACATTCCTTGTCCTCCAAAGAACATGGGTGGTTGTAACGAGGGAACCTTAGTATTAAAACACTTGTTGGAGAAACATTATGTTTCAGAGTTAATAGCCAGAGCAGAAGAAATAGCAAATACTTGCAAGTTGAATGAATTATCTGGGTTTCCTGATCCATAGTGTTCTTGTTTGAGAACTTTTAGCAAGAATGAACTTAGTGACAAGCTGTTCAAGGCAGCATCTCGGGAGGATTCTGTTGATAACTATCTGTACCATCCTGAAGCTAAAGACATTCAACCTGGGGATCTGAATCATTTTCAATGGCATTGGAGTAAGGGACAGCATGTAATTGTCAGTAATGTACTGGAAACTGTATCAGGGTTAAGTTGGGAACCACAGGTTATGATGCGTGCCTTTCGTCGGAAAAGAAGTAAGCATCATATGATGCTTCTAGATGTGGGGCCAAAGACGTATATTGCTTATGGAGTTCATCAAGAATTAGGGCGTGGGGACTCAGTAAGAAAGCTGCACTGTGATATGTCTGATGCGATGAATGTACTGACACATATTCATCAAACAAAATTAGGAATGGAACACCTTCCAAGTATACAGAAGTTTAAAGAGCAGCATGCTACACAGGATCTATTGGAACGGCAGGTCAGCCAAGAGCAAGAGTGTGAAAATGGATTTGATGGGCTAAATGAAGAATGTTCTAGACATGGTACTACAGCAAATGCAAACTGTGTTGATCAAGGAAATGGTCAACCAAATTGTATGCAAAATATGGTTTGCACTCATGGCACAAGTGCAAATAGTGTGTTGGAGGAATGTGAAAATACAAGCACTAATTGTGAACTGCAGTTAAGTAATAACAATCCCCCTGAAGCATTAGAAGATATGTGTGATGATGGTGGTGCTCTCTGGGATATTTTTAGGAGAGATGTTCCTAAGTTGGAAAAATATCTCAGAAAGCATTTCAAGGAGTTCAGACACATTTATTGTTATCCAGTGCCGCAGGTAGTTCATCCTATACATGATGAAACTTTTTACTTGACTGTTGGGCATAAAAGGAGACTAAAGGAAGAATACGGGATTGAACCATGGACCTTCGTTCAAAAATTAGGAGATGTTGTTCTCATACCAGCTGGCTGCCCACATCAAGTTAGAAATTTAAAGTCATGCATTAAAGTTTCTGCTGACTTTGTTTCTCCTGAAAGTATTCCTGAATGCATTAGATTGACTGAGGAATTCCGTACTCTTCCCCAGAATCATAGGGCCAAGGAAGATAAGTTGGAGGTAAAAAAAATGATCATTTATGCAGTGAAAGAAGCTCTGGATGATCTTCGGGGATGTATTTTATAGGGTTGATAAGTAATAGATGATGTAGACGAGGAAGAAGCAACAAAGCCTTTTCTGTCTGGAGATGACTTTCTTTGTTGGTCAGCTGCTAATCATTTTCTTTGTTGAATGATGACTTCTGGAAGGAGAGCTCAGATGTTTTTCTATCATGCTGCAGTGTCCTTTATTCTTTTTAGCATTGTTGAATAAGAACGGGTCAATTTATTGCATACATTCATAACAAATGAACAAATGATATTGAGAGAAGAATGTGAAGATGTATCACATATTGAACCAAAAAAAATGATTATCTTTTTACTACTTATCATGTTAGCTTTCAAAGTTCCCCCATTCTCTTTTACTCTTGTATTTTTATGGCATAATTCTCTTTTACTCTTGTATTAGGTCTTAAAAGACAAATATGGGTGATAAATGAAAATCCCCTACTGAAGTTGTGGAATAAAAATTATTTGGGATTATAAGATGACTTTCAAAAATTATTTGTGCCTACGACGAGTCAACGACAACGACTTTGGGGCAAAAGTTTCATCAAGGACTTTGTGCCTACGATACGTATACACGGATGCCTAGCAAAAGTTGACACTATTTGAATTTAAAAATAGACTCAACCTTCGTCATATTAGGATGTTTTTACTTGAACTGTTTGCAGTTTCACACCAGACCATATTTTAAAAAACTTGACCAGACTAGACTTTCGTAGTTGTAAAATACACAGAGACCAGACATTTATCAGACCAGGCTAGATCAGACTTAAACATATCAGACCAGCAAATTTCAGTCCAAGTAAAAACATCATTAGAGTACATTAAAACTGAAAAACTGCAATTCCACAAGTTTACAACATTATTGAGCCACTGCACCTTGAATAAAAGAGGACCACAATCAGAACATTTGGGAGGCTTAAAGAGTATCCTAATCGTCGGTGTCACTTAAAAAGGAACTATCACCTCTTGATTTTAAGCGCAACAAACAAGATTGATTACTTGTTACTATTTCCCACTACTTCTATTCGTACAACTTGTTTCCTAGAACTCTTGCTTTAATTTCTTACATGCACTACAACTCAATAAATATTTGACTACTTCTCTAACCAAAACATTTTTGTGTTTTTTATGATATTGTTTTTTGTGAACCTTACTCCTACTATTATTGTTATTATTGTCATCTTGGCTGCTTTGTTTCCCCACTTATAATCTAGCCTATAAATACTTTATTGTTTATGATTCCTTATCAATAAATAACAAACTATATATGAATTCAAATATTGTATTATACTCATATATTCACTCAACATAAATCAAGTGATTAATGTCCCACAATGGCCTTGGGCATTACCATGAACGCGCAACGCGTGTTACTAAACTAGTTAGATTAATAAGAACAAGTCACAAGCAAATTCATACTATAAATGATGATTACAATTTACAAGTTTACAAATAAATGAATAATAATCAAATTCATATCAAGACAAGCTTTAACGTAGTCTTTAACTTGAATTAAAAACACAATAAAATCAAAAGATTAAAAAAAATACCTCTTAAGCACTTGGGAGCTGCCCAATCCGCCCCTGCTTAGGACTGAGCCGTCTGAGACTCCGAGTGTTGAGCGCCTGTCGCCTGAGCCACTGTGCGCTGTCCAGGACGAGTGTTCCTCCGGCAGAGACTGAAGTCTGAAGATGGCCGAAGTAACGTTTTTGGCCTTTGGGGTTTTGCGGCAATCTCTTGTTTTGTCGAGTCGCCGAACCGGAAAGAAAGGAAGAAGCGGTCAAGCGGACTGCTCACTTTCCCCTGCGCCTGCTTTTGTACTAATAATTTGGACTCGGTCTGATTTTTTAAAAATTAAGACTCGGCTTGTTTTTTAAACCTATATACCAGGTAACATTTACACTTAACATTTCATTTATGTCCATCAACAAAATGCTTTTCATATTTAACTTTCAACTTTTCATTTTGTATTCTTTTATTTCAAAAGAAAGTTTAAATGCTAAGGTCAATCAAGTTAAGATAAAATAAACTGTATATCCTGCATCTGCATCGACCTTATCTCCCCAAATCTTACGTTCATCTTCCTTGTCTATCAATTTCCTTAAATCGCCTCTCTCAGAGACTTCACTTTAATCACAGAATTGAAGCATCGCCCTCTCGGTCCATCTCAATCGTCCCAAAGCGGTAAATCAGTAACAAGCTGAGCGGCCGTCGACATCAGTACGCCCATCCTCACCACGAGCGGAACTATCGGTGCAGACAAGTTGAGACTTGTTCCTACTCACTCACGCCGGTCGGCGTTCACTACTTTGCCGGAATCTCGAAATTAGCAGAATCTCCCTTGCCTTTTATTTCATGTGCATGTCCCATGTACATGTGCCCCTCGCCCGCTCCCTAGACTGCCCTGCGCGGCTGCTCCCTCCGGCCTCCACCTGTGCCTGCTCGTTGAGTCACTGTTCTTCTGATTTTCAGGTATGTATTTTACTTTAAGTTTTATTTTTTTATATTTTATTTAGTTCAACTTTATATCTTTATTTCTGGAATTCGAGGGGTCCCGTTGTTGTGAATTCAGAATGATTGCTCTCTCGCTTTACTTGTTGTAATTTAAGTTGTGATTTAAGTTGGAATTTAGGTCGGAATTTGCTTGGTTTATTTTTCATTTTGTTGTGTATTGTGTATTCGGAACGTGATCTGTAATTTTATTTGTGAACATTGTGACTCGTTTGCGTTCAGTGTTAGACAATTAATTCGAAACAATTCAGGTTGTTGTTGTATAGTGTGAATTCTGATTTATACATTCCTAGCTTACTCAATATCTCTGACGGATGGTATATCCTGGGGATACCGCTGAAGGGTATCTACAGAGTAGTCAGAACAAGTAAGAGAGAGAGAGAGAGCATAGGTGTGTATTATAAATGAACTCGAGATTTGGATCTGGGATCCTTTGCAATGAAGAAGGGGCTAGCTATTTATAGCAGCCATAGATGCTAGGTGCAATAAGTGAGGGTACATGTGGCAAGTAACCAGCGGTGGAGAGTCAACTCAACCAGGGTGGCGTCGATATAGCATGTGGCTGCATTCAATGCGGTGGTTTGGATGTGACGTTGCATTCAATGCGGTGATTCAGCGCATGTGGAAAGGATATCCAGTCGAGGAGAGTGCTCTCGACTACAAGCACCCTGGGGCTGCATGTGCCGAAGGCTATGTATGAGCCGCAGGCTGCCTGTGCCGAATGCCGTATGTAGCTGGATACCACTATGTGTTGGAGGCCGTGCGTAGCCCGGAGGACCGTAATGTGCTGGAGGACGTACGTCCCCTGGGGCCTACATGTGTTGGACGACGTACGTCCCCGAGACCTTCTATGTGTTGGAGGACGTACATCCCTTGGGGCCGTACGTAGTTGGGGAGGACTTCATGTGCAGGAGGACATACGTCCCCTGGGGCCGTACGTAGTTGCGGAGGACCGTCATGTGTTAGGGGCCATACGTAGCTGGAGCTCTTCGTGTATTAGAGGTCGTGCTGTAATACTTGAGATTTAATTTAAATGGATTAATAGTACTACTCATACCAACAAGGTGCATCTCCTTTTAAGGGAACTCATTAGCCAAGAACTCCAAAGTTAAGTGTGCTTGAACGGGAGTAGTCTTGGGATGGGTGACCAACCCCCTGGGAAGTTTCTCAGGGCACGCACGAGTGAGGACAAAGTGCGCAGAAAAAGCTAATGGCAGTTTGTGAGGACAGTACTAGAGGTCAGAAGTAACTACCTCGGGGTCGGGGTATTACAAATAGGGTTGGTTTCGGTTCGGGTTCTGAACCGATTCAGAATATAACCGAACCGAACCGATATTTTAGTTTACCAAATTATCAGAACCGGAACCGAACCATTGTACGAAAGGGTACCGATTTTTGGTACCCGATTTTTTCGATTCGGTTTACCAGAAACCGAAAGAAACCGACTAAATTGTAATAAATAAAATTGAACTGATATTCAATTGATTAAAGCCCATTGGAACTTCAATATTTGTTCCCGATTAGCCCAATGGAAGCCCAGAACGTAACTTAGCTTCCAAGAACATATCTTGGAATTCTACACCAAGGGGACCATATTTATATTGAAGTTTTGGAGTAGGAAGCTTCTCGTTTTCCGGTGTCGGACAAGATTAAAGAGAATAGGAAAAGAAGCTGAAAAAATAAAACATTAACCCAACTGCGGGAATTGAACACGCGACCTACGAGAGACGACAAACGCCGGCTAACTAACTCAGCTACTCTTCAAGTATGTTCAAATCATACTCGGTTTAGTATTATACCTTTATTAAACGTCATTAATTATTATTGTTATTATAAATAACAATTATTATTATTAATATAAAAATGTCGGTTCGGTTCGGTCCGAACTGATATTTTGTGCACATCAACCGAACCCGAACCGATTTTTTTTCGGGTCCCGATTATTGGGACCCAATTTTGTTCGGTTCGGTTCGTTTTTTTCTAAAGCGCTTCGGTTATTTTCGGTACGGTTTTCGGTTTTTCGGTTCAAAATGCCAGCCCTAGTTGCAAATGGTATCAGAGCAACCCTACGACAGTGTGTTGATCCGTTGGATATCGGGCGGGCATTTAGCAGGGAAAAGATTCTGGGATATGATTGAGTTTGGTTTATGGGCACAACGAGGACGTTGTGTTCCTAAGTGAGGGTGATTATAATACTTGAGATTTAATTTAAACGGATTAATAGTACTACTCGTACCAAAAAGGTGCATCTCCTTTCAAGGGAGCTCATTAGCCAAGAACTCCAAAGTTAAGCGTGCTTGCACGGGAGTAGTCTTGAGATAGGTGACCCCCTGGGAAGTTTGACAATGGTGACCTTTGTGTTAGGGCGTGTTGGTTCCATGCTCTTCTCAGTTGGAGCATCAGTATGTTTCTCAGGTGTCATATTAGGTGTCTCCTCCTCTTCACTGTTCTTCGGCTTGTCCTCGGTTGTTTGTCTCCCACTTCGGAGAGTGATAGCTTGCACATGTTCACGGGGATTAGTTTCTGTAGTGCTAGGCAAGTTGCCAGGCTGACGACCGGGAACATTATTCTGAGTAATTTGCATCATCAGAGTTTTGATCTGATTGTCAATGCTAGCCTTGTATTTTGTCATTTCCTCCCGTTGCCTTGCTAGTTCAGCTACCAACA